GAGGGAGAGAACATACCTGGGATACAAGGTGCAGTGGGGAAGTGGAGATGGCAGAAGGATGGACGTAGGTGATTAAGAGAATGGGGGACGTGGGGAATAATCACAATTTGTGGTAATGGACATGCTGGTAGTGATGATCAGACCATCATTTATTGTGCACAAGTTGTGATGGTCATCTTTGTACCACACGAATATGTGTAAAAATTAAAGTTAAAATATGTGAAAATAAGTAGAGAAGAGACTTTCCCAGGAAACGAATGTGGCCAGCTCTATACAGAGGGAAGAACAGACAAACTTTGGGGAGGTACTGGAGCTTCAGTGTTCTTGTTCTGTTCTGAAGAAAGAAATAAAGCTGGAGATAAGCCAAGAAAAAAGTTAACATTCAATAAAAATATTTTACTATTACTCCCCCCCCCACACACAAGAAATAGAAAAAGGAAGAGAAAAATCTCTATTGGTTCTTTTGCCCAATACTTGCATCATTCAATTTTTTATTGTGGAATTGTCTCACTTCCTTATACATACTGGATATTAATCCCTCCTCAGATGTAGAGTTTGCAATTATTTTCTCCCATTCCATAGGTGGTCTTTCCACTATGTTGATTGTTTCATTTGCTGTGTAGGAGAATTTTAGTTTAATATAGTCCCATTTTTAAATTTTTTTTCTTGTGTTGCTTGTGATTTGGTGGTCTTATTCAGAAAGTCTTTGCTCCTATTTCCTGTAGTGTTTCTTTTATGTTTTTAAAAATAATTTTATGATATTATGTCTAGAAAACTAAATACTCTAAAAAACTCTTAGAACAGATTAACAATTTCAGTAATGTTGCAGGATACAAAATCAACATCCCAATATAAGTAGCATTGTTATACTCCAATAAAAACCTAGCAGGAAATGAAGTCAAGAAAATAAGCTCATTTACAGTAGTCACACACACACACAGACACACACACACACACACAGACACACACACACACACACAGACACACACACACACACACAGACACACACACACACACACAGACACACACACACACACACAGACACACACACACACACACAGACACACACACACACACACAGACACACACACACACACACAGACACACACACACACACACAGACACACACACACACACACACACACACACAAATCTGGGAAGCAATTTCACCAGAAAGTGAAAGATCGCTACAATAAGAACTACAAAACACTACTGATAGAAATTAAAGACAAAAAAAAGGTGGAAAGACACTCCATGCTCTTGGATAGGAAGAATTAACACTGTGAATATGTCCACACTACTCAAAGCAATCTGCAGATCCAATGCAATCCACATCAAAATACCAATGACATTCTTCACAGAAAAAGAAAAAGCAATTCTAATGTTCTTATAGAATAACAAAAGGCCCCAATAGCCAAAGAAATCCCGAGCAAAAAATTAATTAATTAATAATGACAGATGCATAACACAACCCAGCTTCAAAGCTATTATAAACAAAACAGCATTGTACTGGCATAAAAACATACACTCAAGCCACTGGGACAGAATAGAACACCTGGGAATCAACACACACATTTACAGCCAACTGATGTTTGACAAAGACCACAAGAACGAACACTGGGGAAAAGACTGCCTCTTCAATAAATGGTGCTGAGAAAACTGGACATCCATATGCAGAAGAATTAATCTGGACTTGTTCATTTGTTTTCACTTTATATGAGGGAAGAAATAAGAAAACTAGATAGTTGTGATTATTAATATGTAATCTTCATCTCAATTTTACTCAATACAATAAGAAAAAATAATAAAACTGTTGGAAACATGATGATGGCATCTTTTATTTTATTATTTTTATTTTGTCAATATACAATGTAGTTGATTATTATGTCCCATCACCGAAACCTCCCTCCCTCTTCCCTCTCCCCCCTCCCACCCAAGTGTGTCCTCTCCATTTGCTTGTTGTAAGAACTTAAAAAAAAAAAAATAATAATTGTGGTTGTTATATCTTCCTCTCCCCCCCCCCGGTTTTTTTGCGGGTTTTTTTGTTTTTGTTGTTGTTGTTGTTGTTTGTTTGTTTGTTTTGTGTGTGTGTGTGAGAGTGTGTGTGTGTGTATGTGTGTGAATTGATTCATTCACCTTTAGCTCCCTCCAATAAGTGAAAACATGTGGTATTTCTTTTTCACTGCCTGACTCGTTTCACTTAATATTATTCTTTCAAGGTCCATCCATGTTGTTGCAAATGGCAGTATTTCATTCGTTTTTATAGCTGAGTAGTATTCCATTGTGTAGATATACCACATTTTCCATATCCACTCATCCGATGATGGACATTTGGGCTGATTCCAGCTCTTGGCTATTGTGAAGAGTGCTGCAATGAACATTGGGAAACAAGTAAACCTTCGACTTGATGATTTCCATTCCTTTGGATATATTCCCAGCAGTGAAATAGCTGGGTCATATGGTAGATCAATCTGCAACTGTTTGAGGAACCTCCAAACCATTTTCCATAGGGGTTGCACCATTATGCATTCCCACCAACAATGTAAGAGAGTTCCTTTTTCTCCGCAACCACGCCAGCATTTATCTTTCAGCATCTTTTGGATTTTGGCCATCCTAACTGGGGTGAGATGGTATCTCAGTGTGGTTTTGATTTGCATTTCCCGGATGCTGAGTGATGTTGAGCATTTTTTCATATGACTGTTGGCCATTTGCATATCTTCTTTAGAGAAATGCCTACTTAGCTCTTTTGCCCATTTTTTAATTGGGTTGCTTGTTTTTTTCTTGTAAAGTTGTTTGAGTTCTTTATATATTCTGGATATTAGTCCTTTGTCAGACATGTATTTTGCAAATATTTTCTCCCACTCTGTTGGCTGTCTTTTAGCTCTGTTAATTGTTTCTTTTGCTGTGCAGAAACTTTTCAGTTTGATATAGTCCCATTTGTTTATTTTTCCTTTGGTTGCCCATGCTTTTGGGGTCATATTCATGAAGTCTGTGCCCAGCCCTATTTGCTGAAGGGTTTCTCCTATATTTTCTTTAATAAGTTTTATTGTTTCAGGGTGTATATTTAAATCCTTAATCCATTTTGAGTTGATTTTAGTAAATGGTGAGAGATGTGGGTCTAGTTTCAATCTCCTGCAAATGGATAACCAGTTATCCCAGCACCCTTTGCTGAAGAGGGAGTCCCGACCCCAGTGAATAGACTTAATGCCTTTGTCGAAGATCAAATGGCAGTAAGTGCGTGGGTTGATTTCAGGGTGCTCTATTCTATTCCATTGATCAGAGTCTCTGTTATTATACCAATACCATGCTGTTTTGGTTATTATAGCTTTGTAGTATAGTTTAAAGTCAGGTAGAGTAATACCTCCAGCTTTATTTTTTTTGCTCAGCGTTGCTTTGGCTATTCGTGGTCTTTTGTTATTCCAGATAAATAACTGTATAGTTCTTTCCATTTCTGTGAGAAATGTCATAGGAATTTTGATGGGGATTGCATTAAATTTGTATATCACTTTGGGTAGTATAGTCATTTTCACTATATTGATTCTTCCAATCCAGGAGCATGGGATGTCTTTCCATCTTCTTGTATCCTCTCTAATTTCTCTCAGGAGTGGTTTATAGTTCTCATTATAGAGATTTTTCACATCCTTAGTTAGTTCAATTCCTAAGTATTTTATTTTTTGGGAAATGGATAAATTTCTGGAATCACACAAGCTTCCAAAACTAAACCAAGAAGATATAGAAAACCTGAAGATGGCATCTTAAAGTGTCAGAAAAAATGTCCATTTCTGAGGCAATGGACTTGGAAAAATGAATTCAAAGATCAGAGAAGTGGAGTTTGTGAGACTCTATATGTGATGGTCCAGGGTGAAGTCACTGAGCCTGGTCCCAGACAAAGCAGTGACACCCTGGGAACATTCAGCATTAGACCTTTAAAAGAAGATTTTGTCCCATTTCAATGTGAGGTCGCAGGAAGGATAACAGCCACTAGTTGGGGTCCAGGAATGGGTTCATCTGTGCCCGGGCACTTCCCAGGGTCAGATCCACTGGGGAAGGGTCACTAACTATTAGCATGTAGGACTCCAGGCACCAAACACGGGAGGGAAGCTCAGTCACCCAGGTGCAGGGTCCTCTAGGACATCGGGTTATTCATACCTGACCTGGACCTGGGGTTGTTAAGGAGCCGGACACATATGCAAATCTCTGGGCCCCACAAAGTACAAAGCTCAGGTTCACCCTCAACAAATTCATCACAGGCACTGTCCCAGTGGTCACACAGAACCAACGAGTCCTAATTCCACTCAGCATGGAGTGGGGCTGGAGGCTCCTCTTTCTGCTGGCAGCTGCCTCAGGTAAGGAGCCCCTGTCCTCCGGGGCTGAGGAGGTTGCTGAGGCCACTGCAGGGTCCCCATCTTCCCTGTGTCTTCTCCACAAGTGTCCACTCCCAGGTCCAGCTGGTGCAGTCTGGGGCTGCGGTGAAGAAGCGTGGAGAGTCTGTGAAGGTCTCCTGCAAGGCTTCTGGATACACCTTTACCAGCTATGGCATGACCTGGGTGTGACAGGAACCAGGAAAGGGCCTTCAGTGGATGGGCTGGATTAACACAGACACTGGAAAGCCAACATACGCTGAGGGATTCACAGGACGATTTGTCTTCTCCATGGACACCTCTGTCAGCACAGCGTATCTACAGATCAGCAGCCTGAAGACGGAGGATACGGCCGTGTATTACTGTGCGAGAGACACAGTGTGAGGAAGTCAGCGTGAGCCCAGACACAAACCTCCCTACAGGGACGCACGGGACCACCACGGGGCGGTCAGGACTCACCAAGTTCAAGGTTCAGTCACAAGAGCAGGGGCAGAGCGGCGCAGGGAATGATTTTTAGTTAGAATCTGTGGTTTCCTCTTCCTTCCCCAAAACTCCTTAACATATCCTCAACCGTGTCGTCTTTCATTATTGTGTTCATTTTAGTTTCAAATATATGTATTTATACTCATACATACACTTATGTATATATACACAGTCTTAGGTACTCTGGCGTTATACGTCTTGAAAAGAGCACATTTAACAACTTTCATCAAATTTATGAGTGTTATTTTATTTTTATTTTATTTCTTTCCTCCAAATTTAATTTTATTTTGTCAATATAACATGTGGTTGATTATTGTGGCTCATCACCAAAACCTCCCTTCCTCCTCCCTCTCCCCCCTCCCTCCCAACAATATCCTTTCTGTTCACCTGTCATATCAACTTCAAGGAATTGTAATTGGTGTGTCTTCTTCCTTCCCTTACCCAGTTTATTTGTGTGTTTATTTACTTATTTTTAGCTCCCACCAAAAAGTGAGAACATGTGATTTTTCTCTTTCCATGCCTGACTTGTTTCACTTAAAATAATTATCTCTAGATCCATCCATGTTGTTGCAAATGGCAGTATTTCATTCTTTTTTATAGCGGGGTAGTATTCCATTGTGTAGATGTACCACATTTTCTGTATCCACTCATCTGATGATGGACATTTAGGCTGGTTCCAACTCTTGGCTATTGTAAAGAGTGCTGCGATGAACATTGGGGATCAGGTATTCCTTCGACTTGATGATTTCCATTTCTCTCGGTATATTCCCAGCAGTGGGATAGCTGGGTCATATGGTAGATCTATATGCAATTGTTTGAGGAACCTCCATTCCATTTTCCCTAGAGGCTGCACCATTTTGCAGTCCCACCAACAGTGTAGGAGAGTTCCTTTTTCTCCGCAAACTCGCCAGCATTTATCATTCAGAGTCTTTTGGATATTAGTCATCCTAACTGGGGTGAGCACAGCTTCTCTGAGAAAGATGTTATTCTCTCTCTGAAGAAGATGAATATTATACCCATTTCTTTGTCTGCTGACAGCTTCCCAGTGTGAGCATCAAGGCCTTCATAAATGTGGTGATAGGACCAGTGTGCTGTGTGATACTCACGGGGATTTTCCCTCTTTTTCCAGGTGTCCTGTCCCAGGTGCAGCAACAGGAGTCGGGCCCAGGACTGGTGAAGCCCTCACAGACCCTCTCCCTCACCTGCACCGTCTCTGGTTACTCCATCACCAGTGGTGGTGGTTGGAGCTGGATCTGCCACCCTCTGCGGAAGGGGCTTCAATGGCTTGGGCATGGTCACTACAGCAGATCATCATGGAGGACAAACTATGTCCCCTTGTCTCAGGGCCACATCTCCATCACCGCTCAGGGGCAAGAACCAATTCTTACTGCTTCTGAGCTCCATGACTGCCAAGGACACGACCCTGAATTACTGTGTGAGACACATTGAGAAGTCAACATGAGCTCAGACACAGACCTACTGCAGGGACCACCAGGGGGCGCTGAGGACACACTGAAGACTGGGTCAGCCCAGGAGCAGGTGCAGGTGGAGGTTAATGTCTGGTTTCTTGTCATCTTCTGGCGCTGCCTTTCCATATGACAGTTTACCCAGGGGACCTCTGTTAGTGTATGATTCTGTTCCTTGCTCTGATGTCTCCGAAATAAGAAAGTTCTGTTGAACCAGGAGAAATCATTCTCACACACACCAGATGTAAAACACTCTCTTTGTTGGATTACCAGGATCAGTGTCCCGAGGAAACACAGTGGAACTCGATGAGGCTTTTCCAATCAGACTCAGTGCAAAGACCCCAGGAGACTGTCTGATTAGAGCAGCGTGTTGGGATTCTGAATAAAGTCAAGAGAGAGTCTAGTCCCTGATCAGTAACGTATTAAATTTTATGGGTCTCACTTCTAACCATTCTCCTGACACTAAATTATGCAGCATAGACACAGCAGTGACCTGATGTTCTTTTGATCGTATTCAATTATTTTTTCTGTAGTTGTTGTTCCCTCTTTCCCTTTGCTTTTTCTGCTCCCTGGAAATGCAGGATTTGGTCTCTGTGGTCAAAAATCCAGGACTGAGTTCCTTTACCTGGAGCTCAGGTGTGGCTCCAGCTGTGCCTCCTGCAGACACCTGGGAAAGACTGATGAGACTTTCTTGCCCATTATTGTACAGGACCTTCCTGCTGTCCTCTCTACAAGCAGCCACCTGGGGAATGCAAATGAACACTAGTAGACAATGGGATAATTGGGGATTGCTCAGAATGGGATACTGATGTACAACCGACCTTGTGCTGCTCAAACTTTCATGACATCCCCTCCCTCACGTGCGATTTTCAGAAAAGTTTCTGATGGAAAAACTTGATGTGATGTGAGCTGTAGGTGATGGCACTTGTGGTGGCTGGATCGACATGACCGAGGTCTATAGGGACAACCTTCAGGAAGGACCTGTTGGAACACTTGTGAAGAGCTATAGTTGTTTGCACCATAGAATTTCACCTTCTTTGGTTCTGTTCTGATTGGAACAAGCCAAACAAGGTTTCTAGGATAATCTTCCTCCATCTCAACAAGCTGATGGCAGGTTCAATCAAAATATAAAGCACCATCAGAACAACACCTAGATTAGATTTAATTGAATACCTTGAGACCGTGGTTTATCCACATACAAAACTTACTAAGGCAATGCTTATTTTATATTTTTTATTTGCCAATAGACCAAAGTCCATATTACTAACAACTCTTAAACTAATTGTTAGTTTGGGTATTTTAATAAGCAAATCGCAAGACTGGATTACACTTCCATGTCTTTTTCAAGAAAGACATGCACCCTTTTGAGATCAAAAGCAGAGGTCCCGGCTAAGAGTTTGGGAATATATCAGTCCACGATACAAGTCTGACTCTGAGTAAAGTAAAGAGGGAGGGAAGATTGGGTGGAATTTGCTAAATTTCTGTTCTGTCAAAGGAACTGCAGCAAGTTTATTGAACCATCCTGCAGCCAGAGCTGCCCATCAGAGGACCCAACATACCCAGAGAGGCCTTGCCTTCACATCACCATGGAGCTCAGTCACGACTTGACAGTGAACCACAGGACACGTGTCCTCAGCATGCACCATGTGGTGAGTCCAGAGAGGAGAGCCCAGTGCCTCATCCAGGTGCATTGTGATCCCTACAGGTGTAGGTGTAGAATGTGCATCCTCAGGAAAACCTCACAGTTTGTAGAGTTTTATATGGAAAATATGGTTTTATTTTATCTACTAGATGACAAATAGACACAAATATGAAGTCTGCAAACAAGTGGAATTTCCACATTTAACCCAAACGCATTATTCTTTAATTCTATGCAGTGTCCAGGCACAGAGTTGCATTTCTCCTGAGGAATTGTTAAACACTGAGTAAAGACGCTCTTCCCCACATACACTGGCTCCATTCCTGGTGCAGAGGTCTTGGGTGGAATGTGCCTGTGTCTTATCCACACTCTCCCTTCTCCCCCCATCGGAAGACTAGACACTTACCTGACTGTGGGATCTGGGGCAGGAGCTGGTCTGCACACCTCAGAGCCTGCAGAGTTCCCTCATGCAGTAATACAGTCACAACACTTTCATGGGTAGGAAAGATTCTGGTGAATGCTATTCAGGTCTAACTTAGGGCTCAGAATTAGAAAATCAGTTCATTTTCTATATCTCATCTCCATTGTGCAACTCACCATCATCAAAAGCGCATGTAACAATTGAATCCCCTTTACTGACACGTTGTTCTTACCTCATTTAGTTTTACATTTAATTAAAGAGAAGTTCTATGATTTACTTGTTCCAATCTAACCTCAGAATTTGCTGGATTTATTTAGGAAAAAAACATCACACATAACAGTGAGTTCTTTACTGTTACTACACTGTGTGTGTGAAGACATTTCCATGTGGAGTCTGGAGCAGTGTGTAAACCAATAATTGCATGTCTCTGTCCATTGCTCTGGTGTTGAAACTAAGGAACGTCCTTCCAATACAGGAAAAGTTCTCGTAACATATTGGTGAAGAATTTGTGTGTGTGTGAAAAATTGTTAGTGCCATCGATTTATTTACATATCTTAAAGCCTAGTGAATACATGGAGGAGATGCAGATGGAGAACCTGTTTGGAAAAACCTGGTTCATGACAGGTGTAAACCCACATGTCAGCAGAGCTGCTTTGGGTTCTAAGAATGGAGTGTGGCACTCCCTAGAGACGGAGGAGACCCTGGTGCTGCAGGTGTGCTGATGGGCAGGGAAGAGTGAGGGTAGGAGGGTGAATGTCACAGTGCAGGGCCTCCTCTCCTGGGAGCACCCCTCCTCTTCTTCCTCACTTTGAAAATCTGACATCTTTATCAGGATGGGAAACCACTCACACGTATCATCATATATTGATGGAGGTCCAGGCACGAGGCTTGCACAAGCTTGTTTCTGAACCTGCTGCCTGAGGACACGCCCTTCCTCCTTCCTGTCTGCCCTGGGTCTATTCCCATGTCACCCCTTTGCCACACCACCATTCTCTGTGCATGGCCACTGCATTCCCCATGATGGCACCTTCTGCTACGGGTCCTGGACAACTGCCTCGCGGTGTGGACCCCATAGCTCTGGCCTGCAAGCTTCTCCCTGCACAGACTCCTGCTCCCCCCTGACTCTATGAGGAATGAGGTTGGGATCCAGCCTTGGCCATTTCTTCCCTCCCTCCTCTCCCCTGAGCCAGGACATGTGTTCTGACAGCTTTGGTGCCATCTCAAACAACAGCGTACTTATTTCCTTGAGTCTCTTAAAGATGGTGTATTATGTTTCATGTTGATTTTCCTCTGCTTAATTTTTTCATTGACTCATTGGCTGCTCAGCCACCTTTTAAAAAAATTCTAAATGTTGGAGGAAATTATGTATTTCTTATGTGTCCATGTTTACTTTCATATCACTGTGGTTGGAGAAAATTCTTGAAATGATTTCAATCGTCTTTTGTTTGTTAAGATTTGATTTCTCACTTAACATGACTATTCTGGAGAATGTACCAGGTGGACTTAAAATTGCATATTGTGTTGCTGTTGGATGAAGTGTTCAGTGCGTCTGTTAGGAAAATTTTGTCTGTGGTTTTCTTCATTTGCACTTCTTCTAAATTGATTTTCTGTCTGAATAATCTGTCTATTGCTGTCAGTGGACTCTGAAGTCTCTCACTTTCATATTTCTTGAAGTTTATCTGTTCTGATTTGTTAATATTTATGTAATATACTCATATCTAGGTGTGCTGTTGTTGGGTGCATGTGCATTTCTTATTGCTATGCCTTCCTGATGTATTGATTCTTTTGTTATTATGCAGTGATCTGTGTCTCTTCTTACAATTTGGGGCTAAAGTCTATTATGTCTCATGGAAGTGCACCTCTCTGCTCTCTTGTGATCACCATTTTCATGGAATATCTTTCTTCATACATTAACCTTTTCCTATGTGTGTTCTTAAGGCCAAGATTAGTTTCTTGTAGACAGGACATGGTTGGTGGTGTATTTATTTATTTTTTATTTAGCCTCTGTGAAATTATATACTTTGATTGGAAATATAATTGATTTGCACTTAAATAAATTATTGATTGGTAAGGACTTACTATGTTGTCAATTGTTTTTCTCTTTGTACTTTGTTCCGATTTCTCTCTCCTAGTATTTATCTTTTTGACTTGTTTTTTTTTTTTTTGAATTTTACTATTTCTTTCATTTCTCCTCACCTACTGAGTATCAACTATAATTTTTTCTATATTTTATCATTTCTGCGAGCTTTATGTAAATGATTTTATATTTTTATCAGTCAGTTTTAAGCTGACAGCAACTTAAATTCACTCACACAAAAGTGCTTCAACAAATTAATGGAAACATTTGTATCATCTTTTAATTATATATTTCCCCAAATATTTTAAAGTATCCTCATACAATAACTCTTCACTTTTATTCTGTACTTTATGTTAGTGATGCCACATTGTACTTCTGTTTAAATTATGCATCTGTTAACAAATTATCATACTTGCATGTATTCTTAATAATTTATTTAATTTTATAACAGAGTTTAAATGATTTATGTACCTCTATTACAATATTGGGGTTTTACTATTTTAATATACTCATATTAACCAGTAAGTTTCTATTTTCAATAAATTCTTACACTTGGATATTTACATTCCTTTTGTTTCATCTCAAAGGCATCTCTTTAGCTTTACCTGTATGGCACATTTACTGGTGATAAACGCCCTCAGCTTTAGTTGATCTGGAAAAGTATCTTCTTTTTTTTCCTGTGAAACAGTTTAGGATAGTATTCTTGGTTTGCAGTGTTTCTCTTTCAGCCCTTTAACTATATTCACTCCCCTCTTGCATGGCCTATATGGCTTCTTCTGTTAAATCTGCTCATAGTCTTGTCCATGTTCCCTTGTATGTGAGATGTCACATTACTCTTGATGCTTTCAAAAGTCTCTGTGTCATCATTTATTAAAACTGGATTATAATGTATGTAGATGTAAACTTCTTTAGGTTTACATATCACAAATTTTTCATTATAAATAAATATCACACCCATGCACATGATATTTTAATGGGAGAATGACACACACAACATATGTGAGTTTCATGCACAACTATGATTAATATCATGTAAAGTTATCACACATGTACATGCAGTACATTTTATGAAAAACTGCCACTCCCTGTTAATAAATAGAAAGGGTGGTCACTTCAGCCAGTCTTCCCCTCCCATTTGCTAGTTTCTTTGGTATATTTTCCAACATAAACACTGATGAAATTTAAAATTAAGTCATACACCATTTTAAGGCCTCGACTGGGTGGGGACGATTGATCCTGGTGAATCGGGTATGCCATATGGCCCATCCTTCCAAGGCCATGTCACACTCTCCAATGACAACTCCACCAGCATCGCCCACGTGCAGTTGAGCAGCCTGAAGTCCTTGGACACTTCTGTGTATTTCTGTGCAAGAGACACAGTGAGGGGACGTCTGTGGGAGCCCAGAAATGAACTTCCCTATAGGGACAAACAGGACCACCAGGGGATGCTCAGGACCCACCAAGTTCAGGGCTGATTCCAATGGGCAGGTGCAGAGGGGCCTGTGCTTCCTTTTGGGTTCAGCGGAATTATCCACTCTCCAAGTTCTCAGCTGTCCCCTGAGACGTTTTATGTCTTGTTATTTGTGTGTTTAATTCCTCACGCCCTCATGGGGTAATGAAGGATAAACTGATGTGGTCTATATGTAGATGAGATGTGGCAATGGGCATGCTGCCAGCACGAACCTGGACTTCACATCTTGGGCACGAGGGCTGACAATCAGCTCTGCATCTCATGAATATTCATAACCAATTATATGTATATATATATATATATATCCATTAACTATTACAAAAAAAGATTCACTAGGGTCATTTTCTTCCTGAATTCCTATAACTAATGTTTCATTCTCAACAAACAGATCATCCAGAAGATTCTCCTCATCTCATTATCTCATTTTTGGAGCTAATTTCACTCATCGAAAACAGCTGTATAGTCCAGTCACCGTGTCCCAAGCTCACACTCTTTGGCCTCAGAGAAGAAACTTTTGTCCCTCCATGGACACCTTCACTCAGACAGACTACCTCTTCCCCTCATGGTCTCGAATAGATTTGATTGTCATACATCAAACCTCACATTGTCTCCTAAAGTCCATCCTATGTGTCAGCCCATCCATGGACATGCTGCATAGGTCACCTGAAGTATGTCACCTGCAGCTTCCTCACTGTGCTGCTGAGCCCTTGTGTCCTTCACATGCAGAACCATGTAATTCAGGCAGTACTGCAGGTCAAATCTGCATCAAGTTGGAGGCGCAGGTGGCTAATGACCTCACAACACCTAGAACAACTCATGTACCTTATACCATATAAGGTACAGATGGCTCCACCACCTGCAGGACACACTAGTAGGCAAATCTATGAGATGGTATGGTTTCACAGTGATGCTTTGGGTGTCCATGTTACCCTCAATATAACCTTTGTCTCTAGTGACCAGAGATATATGAAATCAAATATCTGTGCATTCCAATGTTATGGAACAGAGGTGAGGTAGGAATAAAAGACTAATCTAAAGCTCTGAAAGGCTTTTGTAGAAACAAATAAAATATAGTAAATGCATGGGGCCGGCCCGGTGGCGCACTGCTATAGTGCGCCACTTGGGAAGAGCGGCAGCGCTCCCACCGAGGGTTCGGATCCCACATACAGACAGGTTCCCGCTCACTGGCTGAGCGAGGGGCGGGGGGCAGCACCGAGGGCTGCGATCCCGTTGCTGGTCCCGGTCTGGTACGGGGGTGACACTGAGGGTTGTGATCTGTTGCCGGACACAGAAAAAGACAAAAAATATATATATATATATATATATATATGTATATATATATATATATATAGCAAATGCAAAGGATCTAAGCATTCTATTTAACTAATTGGACAAAGGGCAGAGAATGTGTATTTAAACCAAGCATGCTTCTTTTCTTCTGGATTTTATTTACTTTTCTTCACATGTGGCAGGGGAAGTTAAAAACAAAGAAGCAGTGACTTAAAGACTTTTTTGAGTAGATACATTTCATGGAACACAAGTTGTGATTACTTTATGTAAATTATAACAACTTAAACAAAGACTATCATACATGAGGCAATAAATCATTATTACATCTGAACTGCACTATTTTCCTCCATAATAATAATAATATGAGTTTGAGACTCTGCTATATGCCAGGCATGCCCCACCCAAGCATTACGTAGAACAGACAAGATTCCCACTTTCTACACGAGCCAGTTAAAGTTTTATATTCATTTGACAAAGCAAACCCTTCTGGAAAATGTCATATAACTTATTGAATCAAAAAACTGTTTTTACAGAAAAGTAGATACATTATTGTCTTCTTTTATTGAATAGATGGTATTGTAGCACATATATTAAAATGGGACTTTTTAAAGTGAGTGTGATTTTTAACACCTGTTTTAAAATAATGCCTTTCTGACATTATATACACACTCACTGACAGTCTCTCAAATTACCAATTACATTTATTGCACAGGCAAATTGCTAAACCCAAAAAAGTGCAAATGTTAAATCTAAGTCCTATCCTGACAAATTTGTGATGAACAAGTACATTGTGAATTTTGGAAGGTTTTTTCAATGTCTGTGTCTTCTTGTTCCTCTTTTCTTCATAGAGTAAAACACTGACCTTAAACTTGAGCTTCCCCATCCCATTCTGTGGTGGATGGAAAAGATTCTGAGTAAGTCAGAATGACCACATGGCCTGTGTGGTCCAGAGTAACCCCTGCGGGCCACTGTCACTTATGCAGTCCTATATGTGGGCATATCCTCAGTGATTGTATTAACAGCACACGCTTTTTATTAGTCTTTAAAAACCCCTCCATTTAGGAGGACTGTACCTCTGGGTCCTCACACAGAAACTGAAAGTGTGAGGATCCCACATGTCTTCAGGTATAACATGTTGCATTCTCTCTTGGACTTGCTCTAATTTTTGTCTACACCAGCAATTCCACTCTGTGCTCTCACTGATAGAATTAACATTCTGAGATGACAAATCTGATGGTTCTTCTTTGGTCTCCGTCTACACAACCCCTTTGAAGCGTTTGTAGCTTTAATCCTCCCTGGACACTTATCTTCTTCAAGTAATCTGTTTACTTAGTTATTTTCTGGCATTTATATTTGGAAACACCATCACATCCAGATATTTTTTCCACATTTTCCTCAAAATCAATGTTATAATTTCTCGGGGAATTTTCTAACAATCTATGACGAAAATTTTCAGGGCCATTATGATATTAAAGTCCAACAGAATGCATTGACATGTGAGAGTAATCAGCACCTCCATGACAGGAAAACATGTTCTGCTAAGTCAGTCGGTCCAGGGAATGAGATCATTGATTTTATATTACTATCAATATTTCTGTACCAACCTTTGTGCATTCTCTGTTTATATCAGGCTTTCGTGAGCATGGAAAATGAAGTGTGGGGATGCTCCCTCCACGACTGGTCTAGCTCCTCCCACTGAGTGCCTGAGATGATAGTGATAAATACGACACCATCCGTCAACATGGGAATGCCCATAATCCTCTTGGTAATAAGTTGATTGCTTCATGTCACATTCACACAGGAGATCCAGAAAGTTGTCCCTATCAGAATTTTCTCATCTAATTTTTTATTTGCATTATTTACCTGTTCATTCATATTTTTCTTAATTTTTAAATGCATTTTGAAGTAACTTTAGGCTTATATGAATATTGCAGAAATAAGACAAAGAATACCATGTGCCCTTCACCTACAGTTTTAGCTTCATATTTGTTTATGGTAGTTAGTCTTATCCAGTATGCGGATTTGCTTTTCTTGCCAAAGTCCTTTCCCATAACCAATGTCCTTGATGCTGAATGTCTGGATCTGATATGAGATCCTGTAGGATGTTGTCTAAGACCAAGGACTCTAGTTGTTGTTGAGTCATAGGATGTGACACCATGGGAACACACACAGAGGCTAAAGTTTTGATCCATCATTTAGATTTTTCCAGAAGCAGGAAGACCAACAGAACAATGGAAGGGCCAATTGAAGTGTCTTAAAATAAAACCAAATTGATGTGACTGAGGATGTTTTATGACATCGTCTTCCAGAAGAAACTGTGAGCTCTAAATTAATTCCATCATAGGCATTTCCCTGTAATCTAGCTCCCAGCATATGGTCCTATACGATGGGCTGTACAGGAGCCTTGGGCCCAATAGCTTCAACACAGGCGTCTGGGAATAAGAGTGTAGAAGTAGGATTAATTGTTTTCAGCACATTTGTGGTGACTAAATGCAAAGTTTTATTTATGCCTTCACAATCCTTCCACTAGGGCACAGAAGGGGTTCTATATAATCTGAGTCTATGTTTGTTTTCTTCTTAAAGGGGATACTTATGACTGTGCAGCAGCTGATAAAGAGAGGTTCTCTACCAGGGATTGTAACTGACTCATGTCTTTCAGGCTAAGATGGCACCTATGGACAGAGACAAAGAGGAGTCAGTCTTGGCATTTGTGGCAGAGTGGACTGAGGTGAACTGTGTGGAACCAACTATGAAGAGAGAAATATAAGGACACACTGGGCTGGATTTTTGTTGTTCCCTTTCATGTCCCCCAGGCCAAGATAAATGTTAGCAGCAATTGTGTTGGATATTTCTGTATGGACATGATCCACCTTTACCTGAAACAGCTCTCAGGTGATGCATAACTTTCTTCACTGTAGTGGGAACTTTGAGTCCCACAGGTCACTACTGCCCTGATGTGTAGATAAGTCAAACCTCTCAGGGGTATCCACCAGCAACAGAGGTTGAAACAGGAAGATAATGCCCCACTCTTATTGCCCAGGTCAATATGTGGCTTCTCAGGAAATTCCAAGGGAAGGATCTCTATTTCCTACTGGTGGTGACCTCCATAACATCAATCCCATCCATTCAACTTGATTTGCTATTTTAAAGAATAGAAATTTATTTTAGCACATTTTAAACTTAGATCCCAGACTATCTTTCTTCAGTGATCGAAGGATCTAACACTGCACATGATTTTATTGAGAACTTTTGAGCATTGATCAGCATAAATGGAAATATTATTTTTCTCCCATTTTCCTAAAATATATTTATAATTTTATTATTCTAGAACTTAAATTTTTTTCTTTCATATTTTTTTAAAAGTAAATTTATTACCTTATATTTTAGTGTTTTTTTTTTTTTTTTTTTCCCCTTTTTGTCTTTTTTACTGACCGGTAACGGGATCACAACCCTCGGTGTTGCGCCCACACCGCGCTTAGCCAGTGAGCAGGAACTGGTCTCCACATGTGATCCGAACCCTCGGCGGGAGCGCCGCCGCACTTCCAAGTGGCGCACTCTCAAGTGCGCCACCGGGCCGGCCCTATTTTTTAGTGTTTTTATTGAATTTTTTTGTAAATATCTGAGGGGTATGGCTTTGAATATCCATATCTGTGTACAATATACAATGCTCATATCAGAATAAATAATATATTCAGCATTATATAGTGTAATATATTTTGGGGCCCTTTACCAATTCCTTGCTAAACCCATCCGCCCTCCTCATTTCACACTCTGGTGGCCTATGTATGATCTCTCATTTTGAAACTTCTAAAAGTTATTGTGGTCATTGCATCTTTACTTCTTTTTCTATTTCATTTTTAGCTGCCACTTATGAGTGAGGACATGTGGTATTTTACTTTCTGTCCTGAGCTTATCTCAGTTAACCTAATTTTCCCCAAGTTCACCCATATTGCTGCAAATTGCAGAATTTTTTTATTTATTTATTTGGCATAGTAGTATTACATTGAGTATAGATACCAAAGTTTACTTATCCTGACACCCACCATTTGGCATGTAAGTTGGGTCCTAATCTTGGCTTCTGTAAATAGAGCTGCGTGAAACATTGGAGTGAAAGCTTCCCTTCAACATGACGACTTCCATTCCTATGGTTATATACCCAGCAGTGGGATTCCTGGATCATATGGTAGATCTATCTGTCATTGTTTGAGAAACCCTCATGCTGTTTTCCATAATAGCTGCACTGGGATTTACAATCCCACTGACAGAGTAGGAAGGTTTCACTTTCTCAGAATCCATTGCACAGCAAATATTGCTAAAAGCATGCAATTTTTGTAATGAAAGCCCCCCATTTTGCCTTTTCTTTTACCTTTCAGTCTACTTAAACAATCCAATTACAGGCACATTTTGAGAAGGTGTGGTGTATTAGCAATTTATCTCTAACATTATTCATGATCCATACGCCCCCTTTCTTCTTTGCCTAATAGGACTATTCTTAAATCTCATCTCGTTATTCATATTGATAGTTTTCTTTTTCTCTCTTTCTTCTATATCAGTCATTCCACATATGTAAGAGATTATCTCCTCAGTTCATGTTTCTGCTGGTTTCTAATCACATGGGTGTTCGGTGATTTACTATTATTGTTTATTATTATTATTATTATTATTATTATCATCATCATTACTTTTTGATAAGGGTTTCACTAAAAATGCAAGTAATATTAATTGTTAGTATTAATGACATAATCATAGCTTTTAATATTGTTTGATTTATTTAAATGACATTTAAAATTTTCTCAGCTAGTACTTTTACCACTTTTCTGACATCCCATCTAAGACCATTTTTTCATGGAGATATTTTCACTTTTCAGTGTTGTGTGAGTCTTACGTAATGAATTTTCAATACTATAATTTTGTTAAAATACTTTTTTTTACAGTCAATCTATCCATAAAATACAACACTCATTCCAAGTTAGAAACAGGCATGTGCATGAGGCCTTCAGGACAGTTATGATACAAAGAAACAGGGTGTGATGCACTAACTCTCAAACACACAGGGCCATCCTGTCACTTTGTACTAAGGGAAATTCTTCCTACACATGGTGAATTATTACAGAATGGGACAGCGAAGTTTCACATTTTCTTTTCTAATACAAGGAGTTGTTCAGCATTAATCAAATGGAGAGTTCTGGGTAGATATTCAAAAGACCATTGGTGAGTGTTTGTGTGTGTGGGGGGTGGGGGTGTGTGTAGAGAGACAGAGACAGGTGACACAGGCTCAGTGTGTCAGGCTCCAGTCCACACACACACCTTTTGTTCCCATTTATCCTGAAATAGCAGAAAACACACAATTTTTTTCTCTTGATGTTAGTCAGGGCCATATGACAGATTAAGCCGAAGGAAATGTACAGAGTTATAACATACACCTTCACAGCCTGGCTAATTAACTTAAAGTTCTACAGGAGGAAAGTTCCAGTTATTCAGGATGAACAAGGTCTAGAGATCTGCTCTACAACACTGCGTTCATTGTTAACAATCCTGTGTCATGCACTTAAATTGTGTTACTAGGGAGACCTCATGTTGAGTGTCTTTACAGCAGCTAAAAAATATTCCGCCTGAAATTCATCATTCTCTCACCTTCTGTTTTCTGTTAAATATCTGTCCTCAAGTTGCATATTCTGGTTCTGAAATCAGTGGGAGTCTGGGTTCCTGAGTGACGTTATGAATCAGTCACCTCTTCTCACTGCAACTTCCTTCCTGAGAATGTTAGAATAGAAACGAGCAAGATGTAGATCTTTGTTCTTGTACCTTATTCCACTGAGATGCTGGGCTGTTTCTCCATGAGGCAGAGCATCCTGATAAGTTCTCCTGGAGAAACAGAGGTGGGCAACTAGGACTGTAGATTCAACTGAAGGTTTGAGAAAAAAACTGAAACACAGATGCACATACACAGAGGTATTTCAAATCTCCTCTCTGATAATTCTAGAATCTGTATCACATCTTATTCTGGTTGTAATTCTTGCGATATCATTTGAGAGTGTTGGTTTTGCATCACATTTTACCAGGTCTTTTAACATTTTGACAAAAGTTCAACACAATGTAGGAGTCAACAAGACCTGAAGAATCATCCCCAAATTGCCCATCAGCAGCTCCTGTCTTGTCGTTCATTCAGGACTCTTGAAGGGCTGTCCCTCCTTGACATGCAGCTGTCTTTGGGGCTGACATGGAGCTGACAGGGACAGACAAGTCACAGCATCCAGCCCGGCCCCTGGCCTCTTTCTCTGTAGTGGGCAGTCATCCAGAGAGTGATGCCCACAGACATGGACTGGCTCTCATGCCCACAGATAGGTGGACATCAAAGGAAAATTTGTTTTTAAAAGTTTAGCAATAGGATGTTATTACTGCTTTCATGTTAACCATTGTAATTGATTTTATTTTTGATATCTGATAAGATTGGTGAATTAAATGAAGGAATAAAGTCTATAAAATATGAGTGAGAAGTGAATTTAAGTAGAACATTTGTACACTTTAGATGGACAGGAATGACCATGGAATGGAGGAATTTAAGATTTTTATCTTTCCCAGATATTGAGAATCAGTGTCCTCAGTAACGCACTGGGCATTATTTACTGCAGAGTCTCTGTGGTTCTGATGTGCTGTGTCTTGTATGGCAAGATGGAAAACCCAAGATAGGCCTAGAACTCATGTAACAACAACAATATAACAAGTAACAACTCTCAGGTGTGATGAGGACCACACCACAGGAGAGGGTTCAGGGAAAGAAATCAGGGGATGTGCTGGGATCAGAACTGTAGAAGCAAGACCCAGAGCCTGAGTTTATGTGAGAGAGCTGGGCTGGGTCCAAGTCAGCACAGAACACAGGGGTTGAAGGAAGGTAGATCTGGGCTCAGAAAGCTGGGGCCACATTTTGGCAGGTAGCTCACCAAGTTCCTTCCCATACCATAAATACATGTCACAGAATTAAAAAAAAAAAAAAAATCACAGTAGGATTTCAAAAAATACAATAGTACCCACCTCAGTTCCTCAGCACTTATAAGGACAGAGCTCCCCCACATGCAAATTTTCCTTCAAGCTGTAGTGTAAATGTGGACACTTCGGAGGTGGAAGCTCACAGGTCTGTCCTAAGACAGGGCTCAGGTCTCTGGGGAAGGCAGAGCTGAGATCTAATAGAAGATGAGATTGTGGGGTCTTCTCCTTTGCCTGGTGACAGCTCCACAAGGTTTGTGTCTCAGATATCACACATGGATTCTGGGATGTTTGTGACTAAAAGTGACTGACAGGTTCTGATTCTCCTTGTCTCCAGGTGTCCTGTCCGAGGTGCAGCTGCAGGAGTCGGGCCCAGGACTGGTGAAACCCTCACAGACCCTCTCCCTCACCTGTGCTGTCTCTGGTTTCTCCATCACAAACAGTGGTTATGGTTGGAGCTGGATCCGCCAGCCCCCAGGGAAGGCGCTGGAGTGGATGGGACGCATCAGTAGTAGTGGTGGTACAGCTTATAACCCGTCCCTCAAGAGCCGCACCTCCATCACCAGAGACACGTCCAAGAACCAGTTCTCCCTGCAGCTGAGCTCTGTGACCGCCGAGGACACAGGCATGTATTACTGTGCAAGAGACACAGTGACAGGAAGTCAGCGCGAGCCCAGACACAAACCTCCCTGCAGGATACAGGAGGGGTCTGGGCTGAAGGGGGCGCTCAAGGCCCACCCAGCTCCTGTACCCCATGGAGCAGGTGCAGAGAGGGGATGGGGCGTTCCTCTTGGGATCTGAGGTTTCCTCTGCTCTGCTGACTCCCAGATGTCCCTCAGGGTCGTTTCCTGCTTTGTTCTTTGTGACTCTAATTTCTCACATTCTCACTGCAGGCAACACAGAGTGAAGTAACTTTCCTCATGTGCAGATGAGAAGGATCTTTTCACTGGGGACTTCTCTTTCTCAGGTTTTCTCATGACCTGTTTTTTTCCTGACACAGAAATCATTATGATCTAGTATTATTTTCCCATAACTTTAGATCAGTCCTGTCCCTAAATCAGCATTTTCCTCTATACAAAGAGCAGCTACTCCCACATGGTTATTATCATCCTACAGGACCCCTGCTCATGGCGTCTCTATCCTCAATGAGGCAGTTTAGCCTCTGGATCCTCATCCACACTGTGGACATTGATGTTCAGGATTTGTCCCACTGATGTTCAGGATTTGTCCACACTGTGGACATTGATGTTCAGGATTTGTCCCACTCTCTGTCCATTCCTCAGTGTCCTGGATGGAGAAGCAGCTGCCTGAGGGCCACACACAGCTCTGATATTTCCATGTGGAGGATTCTGGGTGACAAGCACAGGGATATAAACCACGCAGAGCCCTGATGTCCTGAATATTGGGGTGGGTCTCTCAAAGACAAGATATGATAGGATGACAAGACAAGCAACAGACTCCATAAAATGTCCCCTGATGTCCTTGTATTTGTCTCCTCTGTGGGGTACCTTTTCACGGACACTTCTTAAATAGTGTCAAAGATTCATGTGGTGTTATAGTTTTTCTCTGTTATGATACAGAAGCTCTGTTGATGTGGGTAAATTGTGGGATTGGGGAAGCAGTGCACAGTCCTATGATGAGTTCTGTCCTTTAGTGAGCCGTGTGCTGGGTGGGACCTTCCCAAGTGCTTCTCCCTTTAACCTCCCTTAGGGGACACTGCAATTCTCTTGGGGGAGGGGGAGGGCATTCATTTTTTCTTTTCTCTCAGGTCAATTATGCTCTGATGAATCTGCTATCTATTAGAATCAACTAAATTCGCTTCTCCTAAGGTCAAGCCTTCTTATAGAGAAGGTCATGCTCTGGCGTATTTCAGAATGGCTCCTTCCTCCTTTTCTCTGCTGTGAACGGGATTCTTCTCCGATATTTTATTGGATAACATGGTTGGGCCCCTGAGGTAGAGTTTAAAGTTTTGGGGATCCCTGAGACTATTCCACTGGGCTGCACCCAACTCTCAGATTTCCCAGCTCTGACTCTTCAGCAATTCTTCAGCTGCAGCTCTGGTTTATCTCCCCCAGTCCTGGATCCCACGGAGGTTTCTGCTCATGAGTTTCTAATCAGACAGGTTATGACCCTCTGTGTCTTCCTGGCTGCATCTTCAGTTTTGGGGAGAGCAGTTCACCCTGTGACTTCACTTCTTTTACAGATACAATAATTGTCACCAATTTTAATATCGTTCAGAGTTTTTACCTTTGTCTGGATGGGAGCGATGACATCCAAGCTTCTTATGTGTGAGGCCTCAACAGAGAACTCCTCATGTCACACCTGGAGAAAAGGGCTGTGCTTATGTCTCCTTCTCGTTGCTGCTTGTTTACTTCCACTTGTCACATTAAAGGTGTCGAATAGAAGCTGTGCTGGCAGCTGTCCTCAGCTCATTCATGATTTCTGAGGAATGCTTTGATCCTTTACCACTGTGTGGTCTGAGAGAGGCTATATCTCCTTCACTTTTTATTATTATCATCTTGCATGACAAATCATAATTGTATTCCCTTTTGAGGAACAGAATGATGTTTTGAAAAATGTATAGAATGCAGAATAATTAGATCTGTTGGGAAAATATAGGAAAATGTCCAGGGCCCCTCAGAAGTTCAAAATATTGCTGAGTATTTGATGTAAATATGCACGTGCGCCCAGGCATTCCTTGGTTATTGTCTAATGTAATTGCTCATGTGTACCCAGGTGTCCTGGGTTATGGACTTAAGTATAAAGGATGAGTGGCTCTGACCACGGTTCTCCCTCCACCCCTGGGAAGCCCCCAGGGGGCCAGGGGGTTCTTCTATGGCTGCTGGAGGCTGTTGCTGCAAATTGTTGCTGCCAGTTTCTCCAGGATCCTCCACAAGGCTGCTGCGACCACCACCACTGCCACTGCCAGACTTCTACCTGGCTGGACCCGTAAGCTGCTGCTGCTGTTGCTGAGGACTGGGCTCATCTCATCTGCAAATGGCTACTGGGGTCTTTCCCAATTAACTAGCACGGACCTGTGTGTGAAGGTTCTGGTGACCAAGTCTGGGATGTGAAGTGTGTGGAGACCCAGCCTGGCACATGACGGGTTTGTGACCCAGTTTGTGCAATGGGTTTGAATGGTCTGAGCACTAGCCCTGACAATACAAATGGAAACATGGTAGAACTAAACTAATGAGACATTTTGGCTTTAGTTACGATTTGCCTTTCTCAACAACTGGAAGAGTTGTGTAGATTTACAAGGTCAAGCTGGTCAATATACCCATCACATCAACTTATAATTTTTGTGGGAAGACATTTGAAATTTACTCTCCTTACTATTTTGAAATATATTATTACTGACTATAGACACTATTAGTACTGAATACAGACACTCAGACCAGTGGAGCAGAAGTGAGAACACAGAAATCACCCCTCAGGTTCACAGCCATCTGATATTGGAAAAAAGCAACAAAAATCTACATTGGGGACAAGACTTCCTCTCAACAAGTGATGCAGGGAAAACTGGATGTCCATAAGCAGAAGGATGACACTAGGTATTTACTTCACACCATATACTAAATTCAACTCAAAGTGGATTAAAGACTTAAGTATTTAAGTGAAAAATTACTAGGGCAAAACATAAGTTATACAATTCAAGAACTAGGTTTGTGCGCAGACTTTATGAACATGAGCCAGAAAGCAAAAACAATAAAAGAGGAAATAAACAAATGGGACTATATCAAAATACCACACAGTTTCTCATACTCTCATATCCTTTAGATTACTGACAATATTGCATATCCACTTCGAAAAACTGTTCAGCAGTTTCTCAAAATGTAAAGCATATATATTGGATTGGCTGCCTCCCGTGCACATTGAGAACTTGTCATGTGGAGGATCTGGGGGAGGTGCTGGAGCACTAGGCAGGGGCTGCTCCTCTTCCCCTTGAGCACCATTCCAGGAGGCGGGAGCTGAGTGATTCACCCCAACCCTGCAGAAGCCAGAAAGAAGTTAGGATCCCTGCAGATATGTGCATCCTGGCAGATTCACACTCTGATGCTTTAGCACACTTGACATTTGGAAATTCATGAAATATTTCTAGTTTCACCCTTATTCTAGTGTGTTTGCCATCTAGTGATCTCTGACCCAGGTGAGCAAATGTTTGATCCTGCTTTTCCCTGAAAAGTACTCTGTCCTGATTTCAGGTTTGCTGTTTGTTATGTTAAATTTACTCTTTGATTTGTTTAAGGAAATGTGCTAATTTGTCACTTATTCAGTGGACTTGCTATTGTTGTTGTATTTGTTGAAACAATAAGAAAAAACTCTTTTACTCAATATCTATATTTGTAATCCAACAGCAGCTTACTTTATAATATCCACAATCTGAGCATGATCCAAATTCCCATCAACAGGTAAACTGAAATAAGGAGGCATTTTCATACATTGGGATACTACTCAGCATTAAAAGTCACGAGTGCCTGATTCACACAAGAAAAAGATTGCATTTCAAACAAAGATCTCAATGAAGTAAAACAAGGAATTAAATGCAGTGACTGCATAATCCCTTTACTTAAATGCTAGATGAGAAAAAAAAATACTGTGAAGTAACATAAAGAAGTTCATGGGTTGCCTGGACATAGGGTGAGAGGAAGGAAGGAGTGGGATGAAGAAATCAGAAGAACAGCAGGAAATGCTTCGGGATGAAATATTTGTGAACTATTACCATTGTGGTGGCGACTGTGCAGGTGCACATGTATGTCAGCACTCATCAAGTGTATACTTTAAATAGGTGCAGTGTGTTCTGTCTATTATAGCTCCTTAGGATGGTTAGAAATAAAAGCATGTATCCATAGAGAGAGATAGAGAAATACTGAAACATAGAATTTAAGAGATCCATTAAATTGCATCTGCATGAACTCTGGTTCTCTAAGTATGATGTGAATAAAAGACAGAACAAAGCAAAATCACAAAGTGTGATTACTGGAAGGAGAACCTAACTAGGCCAATGTCACTAGGGAGGCCCAGCTCAGTCCTGGGGTTGGATCCGTGGTGTGGAGCACAGACCCAGACACTGAGGCTCCCTCTGACCAAACATGTGCTCTTGGATACACTGTATAATCCTTTGATGATTTTGTTTATAACTGTACATCTATATAAAGAATTACCATTCAGAAGTGCCTCAAATAGTTTGTGTTTCTGTGCAAAAAAAAATGTAAGTTGGATTATAAGTGTTTATAAAAGGTACAGTCATATAATAAAAAAAAACATATTGTCACAATATAGTTATTGCCACCAAACTCCCGTGGAGCCCTCATATCTGCTCTGGACTCTGCCCTCTTCATAGGCTCCACCACAGAGCCTGCTATGTAGCAGGAGAACATGCAAATAAGGCCTCCCTCTGCTGATGTAAAGCAGCCCAGCCCTGACCCTGCAGCTCTGGGAGACTGCCCCACATTCCCAGGTGCTCCAATTCTGTGATCAGGACTGAACACAGACGAGTCACCATGGAGTTTGGACTGAGCTGAGTTTTCTTTCTTGCTATATTAAAAGGTCATATTAAGGCAAAATAGTGACATTGAGAATGTGTGTGGTTATGAGTGGGAGAAATAGTGGATTCGTGTGAGAGTTTTTTGACCAGGATTTCTCTGTGTTTGCAGGTGTCCAGTGTGAGGTGCAGCTGCTGGAGTCCGGAGGAGGCTTGTTGAAGCCTGGAGGGTCTCTGAGACTCACCTGTGTCGCCTCTGGATTCCCCTTTGGTCACTACGGCACGCACTGGGTCCGCCAGGCTCCAGGGAAGGGTTTGGAGTGGTTCTCAGCCATTAGCGGGAACGGGGGTAGCACATACTACGCAGACTCCGTGAAGGGTCGATTCACCATCTCCAGGGAAAACGCCAAGAACACACTGATTTCAGGTTTGCTGTTTGTTATGTTAAATTTACTCTTTGATTTGTTTAAGGAAATGTGCTAATTTGTCACTTATTCAGTGGACTTGCTATTGTTGTTGTATTTGTTGACAAATACAACTGCAAACTGACAATGCGAGAGTTGAGGACACGGCCACGTATTACTGTGCGAGAGACAGAGTGAGGGGACGTCAGTGGGAGCCCAGACACGAACCTACTGCAGGGACACACGGGACCACCAGGGGGCGCACAGGACACACTGAGCTCAGGGCTGATTCCCATGGGCAGGTGCAGAGGGGCCTGTGCTTCCT